ACCAGATAACACTGCCCAGATATTGTGTATTATATAGTATTCCAAGTACACCAGATAACACTGCCCAGATATTGACCCTAAACAAATAATGTTTATCAAGATACCAGGAGATTTAAACTTGAAAAAAAATCATTGACTGGACACTGGAAACGAACAACTTGACAGAGTGCACCAGAGATTACTATACCTGCATCAACAGGTACATGTTCACAATGGTCCAACCATTAGGAAAAAGCGACCATGCTATTATCAAATTTACTTTAAAACTGCATTCTTAACACAAACTAAATCACCTACATGTAACATATATGTATACTACAGAAGTGACAACGACATTATGAGACAAGAAATGTAATCTGTACCATGGGGAGAACGTGCAAAAGGTAATTATATATATAACTAAGGGATGTAAAGATATTGGGCTCGACTTGTCGACCATATATCAAATTTAATTGAGAACAAGCAAATTCGTGGAATTTATATCCCCCCGCTTGCAGGACATTCTGTAGGTTAACATTATTGAGGTTAGGTTTAAACAGGTGAGTATCGTACTGTTGAGACATATTGTATAGCTTGAAACTTGAAGAAGAAAAGCCCTATACCTCATTGATTAACCGTAAATATGCACAAATCACATTGGTTGGCAAACTTAGCAGGAGTCGGATGTGCATATGGAATTCGGTTGAAACATCTGAACAATATCTACAGCAATTATCACACGAAAACCCTAGAATGCCTGAGATGGGTTGAAAGACAGAGGAACACAAACATTGTTATCAAGTTTGAAGGAATTAACAGAAACGGCAGATAACATTTAACCCTGTGACCAAGTTTGAAGAAAATAGTTTGAAGAAAATTGGTTAACATTTTTTATAGTTATCCGTGACGGACAGATGGACAGCCAGACCCAAATTAATATTCACTGTTTCGGTGAAAGCGGGGGATAAAAAACATAGTAGTGTACACGAACAAGACGGGAAAGTGACAGTATTAGCCTCGGATGGAAAAAACACAAGACAAGCAAGACAAACAGCAACACCAAATCAGTAGATGAAATCAGCAGAGAACTTCACGAAAATTCCAAGCATTTTAGAAGATGTACACTCAAAAACAAAGTCAAGAACAGAAATACTACCGCTTAACCTAGTGCCTGTAATGATACTTTTGAATATCTGACAACACTGTAAAACAAACTATGCATCCCCAGTTTTGTGCTAGCTGAGGGAAGTAAACTGTAATTCTTTTCGACGCCCTCTCCCTAGGCCTCGCCTGTTGCGAGTAGGACATTAAACCCAAAAAAGACAAACTTTAATTGCAACTTATGATAATCAACAGTCCTTCTCTAATCACAGACATTAGAATGTGGTCGTGTTTTGGTGTTTCCTTTCAAATGCGTTACCCGATGAATCTCTTATCGCCATATATGTGACGACTTCATGACGCATGGTTGAGAGTTTTGCTTTCCCACTTGTAAGAAGATAAGAGAGTTTCTGGTTTGAGATCGTGAACTTTCCCTACCCTTTCTTGATAGTAACATCCCTGCTTCCCCTACCTATGGTACCCAGTGTTTACATATTGTAATTGATTCGCCATTCGGTACCCAAGAGCTTACTCCACATATCATGACTTCCGTGATAGATGTCGACTGCTGATGGACAAACTCACAACACACGAGTTTCCAAAGATGCAGGTTGATGAAGACTACGGAATAGTTGTATAGTCGCCATCATGCAGGATCTTACAGGGACATGTGCTATTTACACAGGTACTAGCCTCGTCAGTCAATAAACCCATAACATAATTATGAGTGTATTAACAGATCAGGCTAGTACCCATGCCATTTCTGTGTGCAATATGAAGGTCAATGTTTTTTTTTTACTATGCTCATTAAGTGCTTTGCGGTTATTTATTTTTTGCATCACTAAAAAGTGATAAGGAAGTGACATAACTTGAATTTGACCTAGATTTACATAACGCTTACCCATCCGGAACACGGCCGCCCGGCCTGTATTCATGAAACTATTCTCATGCTCAAGCCAAGATTCTGTGCTCAAATCAACTTTCTTGTAACTCGCTTAAATCATGTAAAACATTCAAAAAGTAAGATATAATCATTGAACAAATAAGATTTTTTTAAATTAATTTATGAACAAGAAATGCATAAAACCCCATGCTTTAGCATGAGAACTGTTTCATGAATATGGGCCCTCGTCTTATTCACTTTGTACTTCTTCAAGGACCTCCATATAAATCTTTCCTTTGCTCATGTTTTGCCCTAGCCCTAGTACATGTATCATCGAGTTTGAGTTTAAATTAGGTTTTTGTTAACACTTCAGTATTATTGTTTTTTTTTGTTTTTTTTGTTGCATACATGTTGAATACATGTTTATTCATTAATAAACATATTAATATTGAATACATGTTTATTTATTAAACTTGTTTATGTGTAATGAAATGGTTTCTTATTTTAAATAAAAACATAATTGGTCCTGGATTTCAATGCTATACATGTAAATAGTGAAATTCTCTGACTAGCACAGTATCCATAATCTGTGGTCAGATAGGTCTGTTTTTGTTCAAAAGAAGAAAAACAAAGATGGAGAGTTAAGTTTTCTCTGCATACATTTACATGATACAAAAAATATAACATTGACTTGACAATAAGATTTAATCAAAACCAAACAACTTCAGCAGACAAAGGGGACTGAGCACTTCACACTATGTCTTTTTCTTTCAACACATTTTAATCTACTTGGGAAGTCTGCAGCACCAGAATATTTGTTATGGGAGGACCTCAAATAAAAGTCCTCCGACTTACGCTATTTCTTTGTGCGATATGAAGGTCAATGTTTTTATCATGTTCATTAGCTATAGTGTGCCTTGTGGTTTTGACATTAGATGCTTACCCTCCTGGAACACCTGGTCTTTTTCTCTTTGTACACATATTTTTTCCAAGGGTCTCCATTTACATCTTGGCTCATATTATACCATAGTGACATGCTCACTCCCGTTACTTAAATTTTATTTAAAAAAATCATAATTTCCATGAAAATTCACATCCAGGAAAAATACTCTGTAAATAAATATTATTTAACTTCATGTTTACACGTTGAAATCTTCAGATGGGTAAAGACAGCAGATATTAGGGATAGATTGCTGGAGCATTCACAAAGTGAACTTCTTCGTCAGAATCACGCGAAAGGTAGAGGTGGGTTTGCATGTCTTTTGTTCAAAATCAAATTAAACAACTACATAGATCGAGTTTACAATAACAAAATCTCCAGAATAACAGAAATTAAACCGTAGATATATGTCACAAGTTCATAAAAATTACATTAACCCTGCTTCCGGTCCTCCTAATATGAAACCCGATGGAAAGGAGACATGATTCCGCTTTTACTAACAAGGGGCAAGAATACAGGCCCTTGTATAGGATCTAGTAAGCAGGAAGTAAAACAATAAAATGATGAATGAAATAAACAAAATACATGCAGGTTAAATAAGCAGAAGACAGTCACGTCAATAAACAAAATACATACAGGTTAAATAAGCAGAAGACAGTCACGTCTGTTACACGTGTACTTGCTATTGATTCCAATGGTTTATAAACAAAAGATAACCACTTCTTAGTGTTCATAAACACATTTTCCTAGAGTTAGGAATTCCTAATAATTCAGTCAGTTTTCAATGTTGAATATAGGAAGACTCCCTAAGAAATAAAGAGACATCACCTGTAGCTGTAGGTACACCAGACTTTATACTTGAATGGTTTCTGGTGGCTGTATGTAATGGGTGAGAAGATGTTTCTGTAGGCTTTTCTCCAGACTAAACCCTTTACCACAGACTTCACACTTGCACGGTTTCTCCCCTGTATGTGTTCGGAGGTGTCTAGGTAGATGGTGTGCCAAACTAAACCCCTTCCCACAATATTCACACTTATACGGTTTCTCTCCCGTATGTATCTTAACGTGTGTCACTAGAGTAGAGGACTGATTGAACACCTGCCCACAGATGTCACACTTGTACGGCTCCTCCCCGGTATGTGTTCTGAGGTGCGTCTGTAGAGGATATGCTAAGCTAAACCCCTTACCACAGACGTCACATCTGTAAGGCTTTTCTCCTGTATGTGTCCGGAGGTGTCTCGGTAGGTGATGTGCCAAACTAAACCCCTTACCACAGATATTACATTTGTAAGGCTTCTCTCCTGTATGTATCCTGAGGTGTTTCATTAAGCATTGCGTCACCCTAAACCCCTTACCACAGACGCCACACTTGTAGGGCTTCTCCCCCGTGTGTATCCTCATGTGGGTCTGTAGTTGATGTAACTGATTAAACACCTTATCACAGACATCACACTTGTGATGTTGCTCCCTTGTATGGATCTTCTGATGTGCCTGTAGGTGATGTGCTTGACTAAATCTTCTCTCACAGACCTCACATCCGTATGGCTTCTCTCCTGTATGTGTCCTCATGTGGGTCTGTAAACTGTAAGTTTTGTTAAACCCCCTACCACAGACGTCACACTTGTGAGGCCGCTCTCCTGTGTCTGCCATGGTTAGTTTCTTTTTCTCAAGTATCTTGCTGTCTTCTTGTCCTAAGATTTGGAAATTTATGCAGGTGTTATATCTTTCTGAAATCCCTTTTTGATGCTTTTGGCAGCATGTGTGAATGTAGAAGATCTTATTTTTTTCCCCTATTCCTGCAGGTTTTTTGGAGGTTGATTAAGAATTCAAACAAGCTGTGCTGGCATTTGTCTGTCTAGGAAAAAGGATTTCCAAGCTGAAGAACTTGCAATGGAAAGGACGCCTGATCTGAAAGCAAAAAGGAAAACTAATTCAACATCTAACATTGCATCAAAGAAGATAAGTCAATAAGTCTAGTAAGCTTCTTTATCTTACAAGCTTGTTTATATTTCCTTTATCCTGATGTAATTGTACAGCTGTCCTTTAAACAAATAGTCCAACATCTAAAGCAGTTTTCATGCTCTATACAATACAGGATTAATCTTGTAATTTGTCCAATTTTCTAATTTTAAGGGTCATCCTTATTATAATCTGCTGCTGAGACAGGGAAATGTGCAAATTCACCAATGATAATTAGACTCCCACTAAACACTCAGTCAGCATACTTAATACCTCAAATCTCCCACTGCGCAGTGGTGCTATGGTGCTTCAGATGGTGAAGGGTATCATACTGGTGAATGGTCCCTGGTAGTCAACTGTAAGATGCAAATATAAAATTTCAAACTACAACTTAATTCATAACACAAGAAACACAACTCACTCCACTTCTGTTCGAATAAACTTCAATTCTCAATTTATCAGCTTCCCACTAGATCATACATAATTCTTTAATAGAATTATAGCTTTTAATAGCTAATGTTAAATGTTTTTAAATATCCGACGTTAAATAAAGTTTATTGTACTGTATATTTCACAGAAAGATTCAAACAACAATTTTGTATTGATATAATATATTGTTTGACTAAACATGTATTTTATAAACACAATTTTGTATTGATATAATATATTGTTGGACTAAACATGTATTTTATAAACACAATTTTGTATTGATATAATATATTGTTTGACTAAACATGTATTTTATAAACACAATTTTGTATTGATATAATATATTGTTTGACTAAACATGTATTTTATAAACACAATTTTGTATTGATATAATATATTGTTTGACTAAACATGTATTTTATAAACACAATTTTGTATTGATATAATATATTGTTTGACTAAACATGTATTTTATAAACACAATTTTGTATTGATATAATATATTGTTTGACTAAACATGTATTTTATAAACACAATTGTGTATTGATATAATATATTGTTTGACTAAACATGTATTTTATAAACACAATTTTTACGACTCAAAATTTAAATAAAATGTTAGTGTCACAGGAGAAATATTTGTATCTAATGCAATCAAGAAAATTTATGCACAAAATATTATCATACCTGATGTCAAACTCTTTGTTAAAAAAGTAACACTACCACTCCTTTTGTTCTTGTTGGGGTTTTCTTTTTATATTGTTATTACTATTAATTATAGACAGAATTCCATACTCCTGTGATATATAGTCCTTGGGATCATCCAGTGCAATTGTGACAAGTGAGCATGGAATTTTCTATGTTCTCTTCTTCTTCTTCTTCTTCTTCTTCTTTTTCCAGTTAAAGTGCAGGCCCTTAAAGGTAATTCTCTCACTGGTTCATGTCAGGCGGTAAAAAAGCATCTGCTAGTGTATATACATATAAAAAGTTAAAAACATGCTGTGCTTAGCGGCGCGTCTAATTACCCAATACTACCCAATACTACCCAATACCACCCAATACTACCCAATACTACCCCATACGACCCAGTTATGAACCAAATACTTCTTTATTACTGTGAAATATCACCTTTGTAGACGTTATTTACTTCCATCTGCCATATTTTATCGGGAAATATGCGATTTGGTGCCGAAAACATCACCGAATTGCCGTGACTATGACCCAATACTACCC